CCATGATGAGAAAATCGCTGCATTAAATTATATTTTCATTATCAGAAAAGTTAGATCCTTACAGCTAATGCTAACCGTCTTGCTAATTACCAGAGTTTCTACAAACATTTCTGGTTAATTTGTTTTCCTCACCTTCCAGCCTAGAAAACAGAAGAGTTCCTGCCAATTGTGTTTTAAGCTTTTTTTTTTTTTTTACTTTTTTATCCAGATTTTCCAGTGCAGATCACATAACATACATCTTACAGATAGTACATTTTACAGATTACATTTATAGATTCACATGTTATGTTTCAGAGAATGTTTTGTGTGTCCAAGGTTTTAAAGAGACAGATAATAATACTAATACAGTAAAGATGAAAAAAAAAAACATAAGCAGGAAACGCCCATTTATCAAATGTAATTTCCATCAGATGTGGTTCGAAATGAATGTTTGAATTGGAGACCATTTTTCTAAGAAGATGTCACTTTTCATCTGAAGAGGCCGGCACAGCCCTCAAAGTGCCACAAGCGCACCCTCTCAGCTGCTCATAAAATCTGGCTGCTGATGGTAAAGTCCACATGCAATGTTTGGCTCTGTAACCAATGAAATTACCTGTAAGCATGGCTAATTTCAGTATGCTGACCCTGCTGGATCCCGGTTAGTAAAAGTCCCAAAGGCACGTCAAAGACTGTTAGACAATTAGATGGAAAGTTAGAAAAATGAAAAAATATTTGCTTTAAAATGTTTTGCGGCCATCGAAATGCTTAAGTTTGATTTGAGGGGTAAAATTGTTGTGTAAAAGCAATAAGCACAATTTGGAATAATTGGGCACATTTTGGACAAGTTTGTAGACGCTGATGACTCCCGAAGTTAAAGGAATAGTACACCCAAAACATGATTAGCCTTCATTTTCTACTCACCCCCATGCTGAACAACACTCTGGAGTACTTTTTTGATATCTCAAATGCATCTGGAGATCTGGGAGGCTTCTTGCTGTGTGCTGACATTCAAATAATGGAGGTCTATGGCGCCCGAGGCAGAAAGGTCCATAAAAGTCCACAAAAAACGTGTCAATATTCCTCCATACTGCTCGTCCAATGTATTCCAAGTGTCCTGAGTGGGTAGCGTCCAGAATTTACTCGAAACGAAGTCATTTAGAATGTTTTTAGAGCATAAACAGTAGTGTATAGGATTTCCTAAAAGCGCGTTCAAGAGTCTAAGGAAACCGCGGCAGACCAAACCAGATGAAAGTGCGCATTCAGCGTCTGCTCTGCCGATAATGCAAGCGTAGAAGAAGAAATGTGCTGTTTACCTGTGCAAAGAAAGAAACAACGAAAGAAAAATGTCTGAGGACTTCAGTGTTGAAGGAAGAGCATGAGTTCTTTGCCGAGCTGTTTGAACTGATGCAGTTTACGCTGTGTTTTAGTCACACCATCCATTTATGTTTTCAGAAATTAGAAGGTGTTAGCTTTCAAATGATGTATTACAGATGTAATTTGGGCTTAGAGTTCCTAGGTTATTTGCTTTTCTATTTGGGTATGCAAAAAGGGGAGGATTACTTAATTAAGGGAGTGTTTTATACAACCTGAAGGATGAGCAGATGAGAAAAGACTAGATATTTGGAGCCAAAACTCCAAAGGATCCAGAGATTGAATGGGTTCAGATGAGGAATGAGTAAAGTTTTACTTTAAGTAAATGCTATAGAAAAAACAAGAGTACCTTACTGCAGAGCAGGATGTCACCATTTTAACAATCAATGCCAGAGGTCCACAGTGGAAGTTCCTATCAGCAAGAATTTAATGAAGTCGTATTAAATCCACTTACCCTAGGTTTAGGTTTCTCATCCAAATATGTTAGGTTCAGTGTAAGCCCTAAGGAACGGGGGAAAGCAGTAGGTGTTAAATTAGGTGAAGGTATTAAGTGCACGGACCTTAGGTTTAGTTTTCCTCCAGAATTTTTTTTTATTTTTTTTTTATGTTTGACAGATTTTTATTGTAAAACATATATAGACAATCAAGTAAACAAAAACAATGACTGGATACCTTGGCAAACAGCAGCCAGGGGTCATTTGTGTATAAAAGCCTGAAATGTTAGTATAAATTAAAATGAAATACAAAAAAAAATGCAGAAAAGATTTATGTAAAAATTCAGCTGAACTATCCAGCTTCCAGTGTGCAATTTCTCTATAGATGGTTAAAATGCTGGGACCTTGGCTCTGCAGTGGGGAGTCTATTGGGAAAAGACTAAGGGCTGTTCTGTTGGACAAAGCAGGGGCGAAAAGAGAAATGCTAAGATGGATTTTATTTCAAACAGTCATTTACTAACATAGATTTTTCTTTTCCTCTTTTCAGTTCAGATGTTCCTAAATTTGGATTAAAAAAAATGTGAGGTAGATTAAGATTTAAGGCTTTATTTTATATCTTTACCAGAAGTCTCAATAAATAACATTAGTACTGCATAAAGAATACTTTGGACTGATTAAAATTCATGGACCTGAGCCACTTTAAAACTTTACGTTAATGCAAGAGTCGTATTTCCATGCCTATCTTTACTTGCCTTTGGATGTCGATGGCGCCATAATCAATCATTTGCATATAGGAGCCTTGTTTATTGCTTGATATGGCAATAAAAACAACAGCCGGGGCAGAAGCACTTCACCAGCCGTTACACTGAGGCTCTCGTTGGAGAAAGTGAGAGAATAAAGTAGGTTTTATTAGGTGGCCTCAGCTGTGAAATCCCAGACAGACGAATGGAAACTACACGCCTGTGGCCACAGTATATAAAAAAACACAATATCACCGTTCTCACGCATGGCTTCAACTATTCATAGCATATTAGAAATAAAATGTAAATAGATTTAGAAAGAAGAATTAATAGCCTTATAAGAAATTTCACCAACTCAATTAGTTATAACTGTATTGTATATGGAAGCCTGTAGTGTGAGCGCATCATATAAAAAATTATACAGTTAATAAGAAATGCAGAGTCTGTGAAATTAGCTGTTTTATATTATGGTAAATTCTGTCGCTACATATTTTTCATTTTAACTCTCACATCTCAAGCTTGAATGCTCTAAAAAATGTGTGTACATGATTCAGTTTATATTAGATAGGCGACGTTGTCACAACACATTTGTCTGCGTCACATAGAAATGCCAGATTATGAGGTTGGTGCATAGGGAAAGGTTAAATCACATACCAGGCATAAAGAAATCCAAAAGGGGAGAGATAGAAAAGAAAATTATGCCAAGAGGTTTTGGTGGGATCAGTTGCCATCCAATCAAGTTCTAGCTCTGAATGTCCTGGAGCATAAGAGGACTGAGGCTGATATTACTCACTTTCATTCTATTCATCTACAGCTAAAAATTAATTTATTAAAAACTATATTTGAAGCAGAAATGTGAGGCCTGCTGAAAGGTATTGCATGTTCCTGTATTGTACAGTATGCAGTATTCACAGGGACCTTGTTTTGCATGAAATACTGCACTAAAGCAGCTTGGAATGATGATAATTAGCCTCTGGTTGTGTTAAAGTCTCATGGAAGCAAAGTTCACTCTGATAGTGACCTTCAGCTCCTCTGAATTGTTGGGTGGGATGTCTCTTATCATCTTCTTGACACCAGAGTTGCTCTGAGGGGTTTATGTCAAACCAAATTGCTGGCATATAAACCCCAGTTAGACTGTTATCAAATGGAACATTGAACAACAATCCACTTCTGACAGTGTTCCTGGTTCAAAACTTACTTGTAACCTTTGTTTCTGGGGTAGAACCGCTACTGCAGCCAAAGCTGTGCAAGACTGTTAAAATCCCCCAATAAGCTTCACTCTGCAAATGCTGTAGTTTCCTCTATTTGTTTTCTTTTCAGTCAAAATTCCATTGAGGGCGTTGTCACATGTTATGCATTTACAAATTCATATTCCAGCATCTTACTCTTAATTTGACATTAAGTCTTATTCAATTTTCTGTGTCTATTATTCTTTTTTTTTGGCTCAATTTGTTTGTAAACTCGACCCTTTTCTGTATTTACCATAAGAATACCAGGTTACTGATGGTATGATATTGTGTTTTCACTCAAAGAGTTAGCAATGAAATGATGGAGCCTAGCAAGACAGCATTTCCCTGCAGAGGTTTAAAAAGATAAAAGAAAAGCACAAAAAAAATTGGATGTCAAGAGGGATGAGATATGAGTTGGGCTCAGTAAACAATCACTGAAGCTATAGCTATAGCTGGCAAGGTGATGGATGTGTGAGTAAATGCTCCCAGCAGATGACGACGGTGTATAATAGTGTTTATGTCAGCTGACGCCCGGCGCAAAACTTTTATTCAGGCTGAAAAAGGACTAAGTAAACTCTATTCGGATCTTTAATGCAGAACGCTGAACAGACAGCTCCTCTAGCTGTGAACTTTTCAGGCTTATCTTTATTATTATTATTAATACATATCTGCAGAAAAAACTGCCCAATCTGCAGACTTCCCCATGACTGTGTAGGTTGTAGCAAATCCTCTCTGTTTTAATCTTTTTTTTAGTTCTCGTGTAATAATTAGGATTCAGTTAAATTTCTCATTTTCGTTGTATTAAAGCAAATATAATAAGCTCCTGGAATCTATCACTCTCTGTGTATTATACTTTATCTGTCACAATTTGGGAAATAAAACTAATTAAATATTTTTTTTTTATAATATTGGGATTTATTGAGATAAATTAAAGAAGTGAAAGTAGTTCCTCCTCATTACTCCATCCACTTCACGCTATGCACCAGCAAATATAATAACCAATACAGTATTGTGAGATTTGAACGCATCAGATTTCATCTTTGAATGAGTCTTCCTGCTATTGGACCCAGACTGCTTAATCTTCACATCCTGTTTAGGCGTGCTTCATTTTATGAATTAAGTTGTTAAAATAGTTTAAATTGTGTTGGATATTTAAATTCATGATGTTAATTAATAGATAATTTTGTCTCTTTTGGGAGTCCTTTTTTGTAAATTTTTTCATTTTCCTCTCTTTTTTTTATTCACAGATAAACCTAACAGGAAAAGAGTCGACAGCAGCAAACATCCCAGCGGATCTGACCTACGAGTCCTCCTGCCAGAGTCACACCAGCTTATCATCAAACCAGCAAGAGGGCCGACCGGGATCATCCCAGACTCAGATCAGCACTGGGGCCACCAGCACCACTGTGGATGACATTGATACTGATTCCTCTATTCCCTCCATTTCAGAGCAAAATTATTCAACCACCAGTCAGATCAGGAGTGCAAACTCCCCCGCCTGCATTAAAGGAGACACATATAGCATTGTGGGCTCGCTGAACCCAGGAGGGATGGGGGTGTGCATCAACGGGACTAATAGCAGTGGGCTGCAGCTGCTGAATATGGGAACACTGAAGGGGAAAGACAAGACTCCACAGAATCTGACCTCACCGGGGGGTCTGTTTGGCAACAACAAAGCCTCTATAACCGGAGCTCCAAACCCACAACCTCTTGGAATGGAAGAACTCCTCAGCATCCGCCTGGACCGGGTCACCTCTGATCTGTCACAGCCGCCCTACGACTCACTGCAGACTTATGAGTTTGAGGGTCGTGACTCCAGGGCGGGGTCGCTCAGTTCGCTGGAGAGCGACGGAGAGAAGGAGAACGAGAAGGTAGCAGGAGGGATGGATGAGCTCAATCAGAAGTTTCAAAGGCTGGTGGAGATTATCCGAGAAAGGCAGAAGGAGAAGAAGACACAGGTGCAGGAGGGCGGTGAGACTGCAGAGGCTGCTCATGCTGAGACTCAAAGACAAAGTGAGAACAAAGAAAAACAACAGCAGCGATGGGATTTCTAGACCCCAACACAAGAAAACAAGAGAGAGGAGAAAAATCTTGGATATACATGGAATTTAAACACAAGGGTGACAGAAAAAAGCCTGCCCCTGACACAAATGGGCTTTTGTTTCATCCCTGTCGTAATAAATGAAGGCAACTGGTGGTGAAGATCTGTGCAGCAATCAGATCAGTGTTGCTTTTCACTTTCACTCAATTCAGAAATGGGAACCCTTCACTTTTTACACTAACTACTAAAAACGCACACGGGGCTACAGCTACAGTTAGTCATGAAAGCATGTTTTTTTTTTTTTTTTTATAAAAACTGAATTGTTAGAAAAAAGCACCATCAGATAGTGGATAGGCGTTTGTGTCAGTCTCACATTTTAAGGCATTTAGATCTTTGAGGATGCATTAGGATAAAAACTGAAGAAACCACATGAGATTTGAGTGAAATGATCCGTACATATAAAAATATTCATATCTCTTTAACTTTTTCACCTTTCAGCAACAAACTTCAGTTCTTTAGACTTGATGTAATAGACTGACACAAAGCAGAGCAGAAGGCAAAGTAGAAGAAAAGAAATCCTCAGAGGTAATATTTGATACTAATTCAACCCAAACATAATTGTTAAATAGAAGAGATCAACATGTACCAGTTTTTTAAGGCTAATGCAGATTATTTTGAAATCATCTCACTCATCCCAGATACAAGATGCTGTTCATTTTAGGATGATTCTTCCTCCACTTCCTTGATTAAATGTAAAAATGATAACAATCCTCCACAAGATTCAGTTTAAACAAAAAGAACAAACATTTAGTAAAAAAAAAGCCAATCATTAAAAAGGATAGGAAATAGAGGGAGCGACCCTTCATGCAACTCATATAATCTTAAGGTGAGTTTATAAGTACTTTTTTGCACCCCATCAATATCTAACCCCAATTCAACCTTTTCACCAGTTAAACAAACATAACTGATAAACAATAAATCAAATATTGCTATAAAACAAAATAGAAAAAATGTAATCACTAAAATTACCATCACTTTAAGTGCAATTATTGAAGTTTAGCTGTTTAGTCTTCTGTGCAAAAGCATTGTTCAGTAAATAAACAAAAAAAAACTTTAAAACTGGGTTATTTAATTATTTAGTTTCACAGATAATTCGGATAGTTACAGAATCTTATTGCATTCAAGTAAAAAAAAATTGGTCTGTTTTTCTGAATTAACATGATTATGTAAAATAAATACGTTATTATTACTTTTATTAATAAAATAATAACGTTATACTTTTCTAAAATAAGATAAACTGTGCATATACCATGTGCAGTGCTCAGCGAGCTGGTGTTTTCACAAAGACGACAAACTAATAGTGATCGCATCTACATAACCAAGACACAAGAGAATTTCCAAGTGTCTCAGTCTGAAAAAAGGAAAAATTAACTGAACTAAACAAATGGAACATGTTTAAGTTTCTCTGAAAAAAAAAGGTAGCCTCGTGAGACCATCCTGATCTCGCGAGCTTTCAAGATTTCACTCGCTAATTAGTCTGGAGACTCTCCGTTGAAGAAAATTTGGAGCCGTTCACCAAACGAACGTCCAATCAGCGTTGGCTTTGAGGCGGGTTGAGGTGTGACGCA